CAAATATGTCATTAAAATATAAGATAAGGAAACAATTAGGTCATGTCAAATATCTTGTGCTAAATTGGTACTCTTGTAGCTCTTCTTTAGGGAAGGTCATAGGATCAAACTCCGATGATGGGATATTATTAGCTCTTTGTTCTACAACAGATAAAGAAAGTATACTGAACATATACATATATACTACCTTGTAACAGAGACATAGAGTCAATAGTACAAAAAAAAATAATTAGACCCTAAAGTATAAAAAGTTTCAAGTAGATACCTCAACCCTTCAATTTGATGCAATTAGGTCGATTGGTTAGTCTAACTTGTATCTACAATTACAATGCAATACCGATTAACAAAGTTGAGCTAATCTAGGGTAAAACTAGGGTTTCGGTTTTCTCTCTAGGGAAACCTAGGTTTTCTTGCGTTTTCCGGTCAATTACTACGGCGGAGAACGCCGGATTTCTACGACGAACAGCGCAGGCTTCCTTCTGACGTGAGGCGAGGCCGTGTGTACGCAGCAGGAATGGCGAACGAGGGCAGTGAGGTCGAAAGGTTGACGGCACGGTGGGAGGGTTTTGATTTGGAGGATGAACATGATGAGTTTGTGCCGGAGGGGGAAGGGGTCGGCGAACTCCAGGTTGATGACGAGGAAACGTGGGCTGTTGTCGGCCGTTTTCTAACTACGAAGCTGGTCAAATTGGAGTTCATGAAGCAGGTTATGGCATCCGTATGGCAACCGGTGAGGGGGGTGCAGGTTACGGAGATTCAACCGGGACTTTTCTTGTTTGTCTTTTATCATAGGACGGACATAGATTACGTCTTGGATGGGGTCCATGGGGTTTTGAAAATAATACCTTGGTATGCCGGGAGGTGGTGGCCGGAGCTGTGCCTGGGGAGGTGGAGCTGAATTCAATTGATATGTGGGTTCAGTTGCATGGATTGCCGATGGGGTATACGTCAGATACGGTACTTGAGCAGGCTGGAAACTTTATAGGTAAGTTTGTGAAACATGATGAGAGGTTCGCGGGAGCACCATGGCTTACGTTCTACCGAATCCGCGTATCTATTGCGGTAGGGAAGCCGTTGAGGCGTGGCATGAAGTTGGTGAAACGAGATAAGTCGATGAGTTGGATAACTTTTCGGTATGAACGTCTACACAAATATTGTACGTTTTGTGGGATGTTGGGCCATGTTCACATGTTCTGTCTGAAAGCACGTAAGAGACCAATGTCGGTTGAGATGCACCCGTTTGTAGGGTTACGGGCGGGAGGGAGTAGGGGTGCGCCGAGGGCGGTGGGGGGAAAACTGGTTGGTGCCGGTTGGGAGGAAGCCGAAACCTAGGGTGAGGGAGGAGGAGGGGGAGGGTGTGGAAGGTGGCGGAGCATGGGGGCGGGAAGAGGGGGAGATAAGGGAGGGCAGTATGGGGGTTGGGGAGAGGGTGGAGGGAGTGGTGGCAAATGTTAAATGCCGCCGAGGGGTTGAGGGTGAAGGGGAGGATGTGGCTATGACCGATGTGTCAAAAAACTTGCGAGTGGCGGGAACTGGAGCCCAGTCCCGCCCATCATCATGAGTACGATAAGTTGGAACTGTCATGGCTTGGGCAATCCACGTACAGTTCGAGAGATTGTGGACCTTGTGTCCGGTAAGAAGCCTGACTTTGTATTTCTAATGGAAACAATGGTGCAACGAGATCATGCGGAAAGGCTCCGTGTGAGGATAGGTTTTGAAGGTTTGTTCTATGTGGATAATGAGAGGAATGGTGGGGGACTGGCTTTGTTGTGGAAGAAGAATAATACAGCTACACTTCTGGGCTATTCGAAAAACCATGTGGATATTGAGGTCTGTATGCCATCAGGAGAGACATGGCGTATGACATGTTTCTACGACTTCCCTAAGAGTAGTCAAAGGCGAGAATCATGGGAGTTGCTGAAATCATTGGTGGGGAAGTCTCCGCTTCCGTGGGTTGTAATAGGAGATTTTAATGATCTCTTATTCCAGCATGAGAAAAGGGGAAACAATCCACATCCAGATAACTTTCTCCGGGGTTTTAGTGAAGTTGTGGATGACTGTGGTTTACGTCAGCTACCTATGAGGGGATACCAGTTTACTTGGGAGAAATATAGTGGAACGGATCAATGGTTGGAGGAGAGATTAGATAAGGTGTTGGCAACGATGGAGTGGTGTGATGCGCATGGAAGGGCGGGTGTATAGAATATAATTACTCGTAACTCAGATCACTCAGCTCTGTTCCTTGATATAAATGCACAAAGGAGGGGGGGGGGGGGGGGGGGGGGGGAAGAAGGGTTCCGAGGAGGTTCAGGTTTGAGATGGCATGGCTGCTGGATGAGGGGTGTAGAGAAGTGGTGGAAACTGCCTGGCAAGGGGGGAGGATAGAGGGGTTGTTGAATTGTCAGCAACGATGTGGGGATAGACTGATGCGCTGGGGCGGTGACCATTTTCATAAGTTTGGAGAGCACATCCGGCGGCTCCGCAAGGAGCAGGGGCGGATCCGTGGTAGGAGGGATCCGGGATCTTTGGCTCAGTTCCAGTTGTTGAATAATCAGATCTCCCAGTTAAAAGCCTAGGAAGATGTCTTTTGGAGGCAGAGAGCGAAGCAGCATTGGCTTCGTGGCGCAGATGCGAATACAAAGTATTATCACAGGTATGCTTCTGCTAGAAAGAAAAAGAATTTTGTTTCTAAACTGTTGAATGAGTCTGGGGTATGGGTGGAGGGACAGAATATGAATAATGTAGTAATCAACTATTTCAATACAATTTTTGCTACTAGTAATCCTGTGTGTGAGGACCCTTTATTTGATGAGTTTGGCCCCCGAGTGACGACTGACCAGAATGAAGCATTATTGTGTCCCTATGATGTGGCCGAGGTCAAAACTGCTTTATTTGCCATGTATCCTAACAAGGCATCGGGACCGGATGGAATGAATTCGGGGTTTTATCAGCGTTTCTGGGATATAGTTGGAGAGGATGTGTCTGCTTTTATTGTCAATTGTTTGAATTCAGGTGAAATTCCGAATGATTTGAATGCTACCAATATTGTTTTGATTCCAAAGAAGAATGACCTTACAACTGTGGCGGATTTGAGGCATATTGCCCTGAGCAATGTCTTGTATAGAGTTATGGCAAAGATGATTGCCAACAGGTTGAAACCTATGTTGGGGGATTTAATCTCAGAGTCCCAAAGTGCCTTCATCCCAGGTAGGCTTATAACGGATAATATACTTGTGGCGGCGGAGGTGGGCCACTTTTTGAATCGTAAGCAATGTGGAATAGCAGGATGGGGAGCACTTAAACTGGATATGGCTAAGGCTTATGATAGAATGGAGTGGCCATTCTTGAAAAGGATGCTGGAGGTAATGGGTTTTGATGAACGGTGGATTAAGCTGATAATGACATGTGTTACCACTGTATCATACAGTGTTATGGTGAATGGCGTGAGTAGAGGCCAGGTGCAACCAACAAGGGGTCTCAGACAGGGAGATCCACTTTCACCTTTCCTATTTATTATTTGTGCTGAAGGTTTATCCATGCTTTTACAGAAAGCACAGGCAGTAGGATCTATTCACGGTTGTAGGGTGGCGAGGGGAGCCCCCCAATATCACATCTCTTCTTTGCTGATGATAGTTTATTGTTCTTTAAAGCAATGTCCAGGAAGCTATAGTGGTCAAACAGTGTTTGGAAAGATATGGGGAGTTATCTGGTCAGTTGGTGAACTATCATAAATCTAATATATGCTATAGTAAGAATACTGGAGAACAGATGAGAGAGGAAGTAGCGGACTGTCTGGGCGTGGAGCAGACGCGGAATTTTGGAAAATATTTGGGGCTACCCTCTTTTGTAGGGAGAAATAAATGGACTGTTTTCTCTTATGTAGAAGATAAAATCAGACAAAGAGTTTTCTTGTGGAACAAGAAATTGCTATCACAGGCTGGTAAAGAAGTGCTTTTGAAAAGTGTGGCTCAGTATATGCCCACATTTTCAATGAGTGTTTTTTTGCTCCCTAAATCAGTTTGCGAGTCAATTCAAAGGGCCATGAATAGGTATTGGTGGGGAAAATGGCCAGAAAGAGGAATCCACTGGAAAGCATGGAATAAATTGTGTATCCCTAAAAAGTTTGGTGGAGTGGGGTTTAAAGATCTGAGGAATTTTAATCTTGCGATGTTGGGTAAACAGGCATGGCGATTTTTAACTAATCCGGAGTCTCTGGCAGCAAGAATATATAAGCAAGATACTACCCGAAAACTTCTTTTGTGGATGCAACGGTGGGAAATAATCCCAGTTTTTGTTGGCGGAGTATTATGGTTGCTCATGATTTGGTTATTGCCCATGTACGAAGGAGAATTGGAAATGGCCAGGAAACTTTAATATGGGGTCATCCGTGGTTGCATGATAATCCTAGTCCACTTGTTCAAACAGTAATGCCTGAACCATTAAGGGGTGCAGTTGTAGCAGGTTTAATAGATCAGCAAACAAAAACATGGGACCCCCATATTTTATCAGATCTATTTGAACCTGAGGATGTGGATCGAATTTTAAAAATACCTGTGAGCCCAGATTATAAAGACACATGGTATTGGCATAATGACCCAAATGGTTGCTACACTGTAAAGGATGCTTATAGGCGCCTAATGGGAGAATTTAATCATACTTTGGGAGAATTTGATAGATGGATTACATTGTGGAAGTTGAAAGTCTCACCCAAATGAAAAACTTTTTTATGGAGAGCGGTGTGTGATATACTCCCAACCACAACAAATTTGATTATAAAGAGGGTAGATGTGAACCCAACATGCATGTTGTGTGGTCTTACTAATGAGAATGTTATGCACTCATTAGTTTTATGTGATTATTCTAGAGCCGTATGGAATATTTCAGGGCTGCCTATTATGAATATTTATTCTACGTCTTTTCCAAACTGGCTTATGACTGTTATGGATATGCTCACAGGCGAACAGGTCAGACGCGTTGTGGGGGTCCTCTATTTTTTATAGATGGCCAGAAACGAGGCGGTCTGGGAACATGCGGTAAGGAGGCCGAAGGTGGTGTGGCGCCGTGCAGCTGCGGGAGAAGCGAGCTACACGGCAATCCACGCTCGACCAGTGGCGACATCAGCCGAAGGGGTGCAAGCGGTGGCAGCCGGACGGGCGACGTGCCACGTTGACGCCGGATACGACCCGAGTACCGGCAATGCAACCTATTGGGCGGTCCTACTCGGTCCGAATGGTGTGTTTAAAGCAGCGGCAAATGGAAAGCTCCCGGGGTGTTTTACTCCTCTTATGGCAGAAGCACTAGCATGCAAGGAAGTCTTGTCCTGGCTTAAAGACCGAAACGAGAATGAGGTGGATATTCTTACGGATTGTCTTGTCTTAAGGAATGCGGTTCATGCAGTTACTACACCGAACTTATCCTATGTTGGAATTGTGATTGAGCAATGTAGAATAGCTATTAGTAGTTTCATTTATTGTTCGCTTAGTTTTGTTCCTAGAGCTTTAAATTTACATGCACATACTCTTGCTAGTTTAACCTATGATCAGGATCATTCTATGTACTGAGATTTAATCCCTCCTGACTCTATCATTCAATTTCTGAATTAATATAATGGTACGCCATATTTCAAAAAAAGGTCGATTGGTTAGTAAACTCAATGTGATAATCGATAACATACATTTGATGTACATCTTTTATCCAAAAACATTTAAAAAAAAAAAAAACAAATTGCTCACTTTTTCATCAATGGAGAAATTGGCCATTTTCTTCATCCAATTGGATAGAGTAGCCGGCGGGGTGAAGAAGCCCATCAGACACAAGTTTCTTTGTAAAAATTTCTTCTTTATTATTTTTATTTTATTCTATTTTTAATTAAATTATTTGAATTAAAAAATATTTTTAGAATTTTTTTTATTTTAACAATATTTTTTAAAATAAAAAAGACATTTTTACTGATTACCTAAAAGATAATCAGTTAATCAACTAATAGGGTGTTTGGTTGGCATGAATTGTAACTCAATGCCAATACAATTCAATTAAATGATAAACTATATTGTTTGGTTGGAGGGAATTACAATTTCCTCAATTCAATGAATTGCAGTTCATCCATACAAAGAAAAGGGAAATGAAAGAAAATGATATATTTGCTCTTAAATATTATTATTAATATTATTATACAATGACATTTTAATCTTTATATCAATTCTTCCATTTCCATTCCGAATAATTATATTCCTCCTTACCAAACTATAATTTTAATTCATACTAGCTATATATTATATTCTCACTTTATTCTTTTCCCACCGAATTACAATTCATTTCCCCTTTAATTCATTCATTCCAATCAAACGCCTTGTTAATTGTATTGAAATAAGGAGTTAGAGGTGTCTAATTTGAACTTTTTATAGTTTGAATGCATCTTTTTCCACCTATAATTTGAAGGTACATCTAATCCTTTTCCCTTTAACTTATAATATATGTTAATGTAAACAAAATTGAATTTAATTATTAATATAATTATTTAATTATTTATAATTCATAATCATATGTTTAATCAATCCGGGTTCGATAGTGCATAATTGGTTAAATTTATTAGTATATTTATCCCCAAAAAAAATTAATTTCACCTTTGTCAAATATATAATTTACTAATGTCAATGACCTTATGGTCTAGTGACATGGCTCTTCCAAATGGGAGGTCATGCGTACGAGTCCCACTGAAGGCGGTATTGTCTCTTTGTACTCCAGTACGTTGAGAAAGTAGTTATGAACAAATATTGCATTCTAACAGAGTTATTAGCATTAAAAAATATATATATAATATACTAATATTTTCGAATTTAATAATTATAGTCAAATTTAATCTCTAAACTTTTTTAAAATTAACTTATTGTAGTTTAATTTTTGGGACTAGACTTCATCGATTTATAAAATAAAATAAAAAAATCTGAAGATTACATGAAAAACCAAATATAGAAATACTCAAAATTTAAATGTAAAAATGTTGATTCTTTGGTTTGAAATAGTTTGCACAAATATAGAACATATACTATATTTTGTAAAGAATTATTAGTATTTCAAAAAAAAAAAAATATATATATATATATATATATATATATATATATATATATATGTGTGTGTGTGTGTGTGTGTGTGTGTGTGTGTGTGTGTTATTACAATCGTGTGATAAAAGTTTCTCACCAAAAAAATAAAATAAACAATCGTGTGATGAAAAATGATATAATAAATAATTAATATCCTTTTCTCAAAAAAAAATAAAAATTAATATCCTACGCATTTTGTGAGTATTAATTATGATATATGTTTGTTTAATTACAAGTTTATGAATAACTTAATTATGAATTAATTTATCTATTAATAATTGTAATCCAATTTGCAGGAGTCTTGAGGGTGTGTTTGGTTCGAATATGGAAATTGAAATTGGAATGGAAATCAAATACGGAGTACTTGGTAATTGTAATGAATTTTGGTGAGAGTATTTTGCATGTTTGGTAGTAGGTAGAATTAGAAATTTGAATGATTATCAATATTGATATTTGGTTATGTAAGACTCTATAATTGGAATAGAGGTTTTAAAAATACAAAAAGAGAAAATAGTTGTTTTAGTCCATCAATTATGCATAAATTGTAGACTCGATCCATAAATTATTGCTCAATACAATTTTCCCTTTATTTATCTTGAAACGGGTTGGTTCAATCTATTACTTATAAATTTTATTTAAATTAAAAAATTATTTTGATTTGTCAAATTATTAGAGGACAAATTTGTCATTTTGTAAAAGTTTCCCAATATTTTTCAGATGTAGCTTATTTTGCTCTAGGCTTAATTCTTTCCTTAACTCAATAGATTTTCATGCATTATTCTTATTGATTAACACCTCATCAATAAAGATGGACACTCCTGATTAGGTCAAGACTTTCTCAATAAAATGACCCCCAAGGTCCCATGGCGCCATCAACAATAGTTATGATGTGCAATCGTGTGCACCATGCATGGTGCACACGGTTGCATAACGACGTCGTTTTGACTAAAAACGCGCTTCCTATTTATTAAAAAAAAAATCAGTTTCGATTCCCATCAACAGCATTATGTTGTTCATTCATTGTGAATTTTTAGTTCATTCATTGTGGATATTTAGTTCATTCATTCTGGATTTTTAGTTATTCATTCTCTGTGGATATTTAGTTTATTCATTGTGGATATTTAGTTCATTCATTGTGGATATATAATTCAAATTATGCACAAAAAAATGCTATTGCCGGAAATCGAACTTGATTTTTCTTTTAAGTGGGACGCGCGTTTTTAGTCAAAACGACGTCGTTTTTGCAAATGGTGCACACGGTTGCACAACATACATATATATATATATATATATATATATATATATATATATATATATATATATATATATATGTATATATATATATATATATACATATATATACATATATATATATGTATATATACATATATATATATGTATATATACATATATACATACATATATACATATATACATATATATATATATATATATATATATATATATATATATATATATATATATATTATGAATATTTTTATAAAGTTTTAATGTGTTTTATTTTTCGTCTATATCCAACAATATTTATGACTATATTTCTTAAGTGTTTCATTGTTTTTCAAATTATAATGTATTGTCCCCACTGACAATTTTTTCTGGATCCGCCACTGTTGGCAAATGTGCTCGTTATCTAGGAACTCAGTTATAAAAATGAATTGATATCCTAATTCATTTGTATGAAAAATATATTTTTTGTCTAGATATATAGCAATTTTGCGATTTCTTAAAAAAAAAAAACATAATACCACCAATTGTATTTACACATTATTGAAACCTCTTTGTAGACAACATTGGTAGTAGCAACACAATCTTGTCCATCTTCGCCTAGAGCTAACACCATCAGTCCATCCGGATGGGTGGTTCGGGTGAAAATATATAATGGTAGAATATAGTCAATTAGTGATCATTTTATATTTTCAGTCAATTAGTAATATCATATTCATTTTCAACCAATTATTCTTTTTTATTTTCAGTCAATTAGTCAATTAGAATATGAGATGCAGTGATGTTTTTACCTAATTTTCGTTCCATTTTTAGTTGATGATGTAGAATATTTTTATTGAAATATATATATATATATATATATATATATATATATATATATATATATATATATATATATATATATATATATATATATATATATATATATATATGGAAGCTAGGGTTCAGGTATGGGTATAGCTTCCCATGCGGTTGCACCTTAAGCATTAAAATGGTGCACCTTATGTACACAAACCACTCATCTTATGCACACAAACAAAGCACCTTAAGAATACAAACCACGCACCTTAAGAAGGAAAACAACGCACCTTAGCAACTGCAATTGAGAAGACCAATCGCACGAGAACCCATTTATATATATATATGATCAAATCTAAAGACAGATCTTAGTAATCTATTAAGGTCTATCAATGGTTAAAAATTTTAATAAAAAAATACGAAATTAATTTTATAATTATTAAAAAATTTTAAAAATAAGTTTCATTGTAAACTTAAAATTTTAGTAATCATAATATCCCCATCTTTAACTTTTAAGATAAAATAAAAAGTATAAATATGTCCATATTTTTTATTTTTACAAGGAAGTGTGTTTTGACCTGTACTCTCATTTATCTATATATATATATCTAAAAACATAATAAGTGTCAATACAAGTTATGTCCTTAATTTTTGTCCCTTGTTTATATGCTAATAAATATATACATTTTGCTTTTATTATTGTACATTCATTTGCATTGGACAAAATCACCCTTACACCATTATAACACCGTTAGTTTTTAATATATCTACCAATCTTACCATACACCTACATCTATCATATCCTTTTCCTATTTTTAATTATCATTTTATTAAAAATATCATATAACAATTAATTTAATTATAAATTATATTTTAATTAAATATTTATATGAATGTTAAATTATATATGTGTATGATATATATATATATATATATATATATATATATATATATATATATATATATATATATATATTATTTGTGTATCCATATCAATATATCATATATGTGAATGTTAGATTAGTATTAATTGTAAATTATTATTATATAAAAATATAATATATTTTTTTGTTTTGATCACTATATTATTCAAATATATGATAATTCAAAAGTATCATCACTTTAAGAAATTGCAAAATATAATTTTAACTAATTTTTTAAATTTTGTTACTTACAAATATTTTAATATTGAACATAAATTTTTGCGCATCGCGCATACAAAATGCTAGTCTCTATATAAGAGAGCCTACGTAAAACGTGTTTTTACTTTTGACGGTGTAAAAAGTAGAAAATTACGAAAAGTGAAGTTGTAAAATGTTGGGCAGTTGAAGTGTAGGATGTTGAACGTGGCAGATCCGAGTGGAAGTGGGCATGGCGGCGGTAATAATTGTCCCATTGCCGACATTATACTGTAACTG